TACTCTGCCTTTCATGTTCTGTGTCTACAATAAAGTTTCTTTCTATTCAAGACACATCATCATCATCCTAAATATTAACATTATTAAGTTGACCGTTATCACTTTCAAACACTAATGCTGTGATGCTGAAAAATGTGAAAAAAAGACTCTGACCTCTGACAGACACTTACTACATTGTTTTTTCACATATCTGACATGCAGGGCTTTGGCAGTTAGGTTTTATGAAATGATGTTGCAATACTACTCTCCAGGGAAATGATAAAATAAGGAGAAATGCTTGCTCACCCCAGCTGCATTCATTCTGTGTTAAATTAATTCAGTCGCAAGTATTCTTATTGTGGCATTGAAACTTGTAATATTGGGTTTGGTTTTGGGTCCTTGGATTAACAGTTTGGTGCATTGAAACTGTGTTTGCCACAAAAATAAAAAAAGGAGAATAATTCACCTTTAAATAGTGTAATAATAGTGAGTAATGTCGGTCAGTTAAAAATGTGAAAAGAGCAAATATTTAAAAATAGTTATTATTATTATATATACACATTCACATGTGTTTCACACATGTCAGCAAAATACTGACAAAATGGTATTTTCTCTTAGTCATGCTCGAAAATAAACTTTGACGGCAATTTCCTCTCAACTCCAGAAAAAAATATTGTGCAGATCTTTATTAAAGGTGGGGCTAATTTACTGTGGAGAGAACCGCTGTGGTTCCGAGTTTCCCTTAATTTCCTCAACCATCAGCTGTTGAGTCCTGCTTTGTCACTGTTGAGTCATTTTGGAGGCAGATGAAGAAGCGTGACTCATACCAGATCTGTGGCTGCAGGAAGTAAGAGACCGGTTAATAGGTTCCTAATTAGAGATCACTGCACAATAAGTGGTCAAGATGTACTGAACTTTGTAAAGTAATAAAAATAAAGGATTAGTTTTGATTTTATAAAGAACAAAAATGCAGGGCCTTGCAGACAGTCCTTGGTACTGTGCCCTAGGGAATTTCCACCATTCAGTCCCTTATTTATCCACCCAGTATCCCACAGCAGTGCTGGTTTTGCTCTATCTTTAATTTTAATTCCTAACCTCTGATTAACTTGTCTCCCTGACCCAGAAAAAAAGAAAAAAGCCACACTGGTTTAGAGAAAAAAGGTCAATAAAAACTGTGCCGTTATCATCTTATTCCAAATGAGCTGAATGTTTAAGTGAAGATTGTTTTGTGCACATGATGTTATGACTCTTGATGTTGTCTCTCCAGGCTGAGCTGCTGACTGGTTCCTCTGTAACTAATGTGGAAGAAGCACATCGGGCCAGTAAGGAGCTGCTGAAACGAGGCTGCGGGTCGGTCGTCATCACTTTGGGACCTCAAGGTTGTGTGGTGCTCAAGGCACAGGAGTCTACACCAAAACATGTTACAACGACTGCGGTCACAGCAGTGGACACTACAGTAAGCATTGCCCATATATTGTGTATGTTTTTATATCACTTAAATATTTTTCAATTATTTGGTTTATTATAAAATATTTGAAAATTTTGGGAAAAGCCAATCGCAATATTTTGGGGTTTAAGACGATGTCTTTTTCTTTTTACTTGTTTTGGTCCCAAAAACAAAGACATTTCAGTTTGCAGTGATATAATCTGCAAAAAATCACATTTCCCAAACTCAAACCGTAGAATGTCCAGCATGTCTACAAATAACAAGGTCAGTATGTTGGTTCAGACAAATATCTCAGCAGGTATCAGATTAGATTGCTATCAAGGGTTTAATCCCACAATTGTGTTTTTGTTGTGTAACCTCAGAATGAATCAGTTTAATAAACCCTGAACTTTTCATCTTCAGTCATCATCAGGTCAACGGTTGAGTTTCTCCGATATTTTGGTATAAAGCTTACAACGATGAGTCGATTAGATGCCGACAGAAAACAATCATTGACTGTAGACTCTTTCATTATCAAATAATGTTATTATTTATGTAAAATGAAAATAAAATAATAGAAAATAGTTTTTACACATTAAATATATGTTTTACTATTTTATATATTTTTATCCAGAATCAGAATCAGAAGTACTTTATTAACGCCCGGAGGGAAATTCAAAAATTTCAAAATTATATAATATAATGTTATATAATATACATATTTAAGTCTTCAAGGGATAATTTTAAGTATTAGTGCAGCAATCATGTATAATAAACGATACAAGCAAAAACTGAATTTTTTTTACCTGGAATATTATGTAATCCAGCCCACTCTGTGAATTATAGAAACAGCAGGGAATGTGTTTTCAACATTAACAGAGGGAAAAACAGTCACAGAAAATTCTCACATTCAACTGTTACTATTGTTCCGTAACAAAGCTCTGTCGCACAAAGGTTGTTGTCGGCCCAGTCATCACGGCCGAGTAAACGGCTTTAAGAACTGTAGTGGAGCCACAGATCTGTCTGTTGCTCAAGTGGAACGTTTTAAGAACACTGGGTATGTGGTGACCACTGGCTGTTTCCCCTCCCTGACTCTAATCTTTATATGAAGCCAGCATCACTTGACTCATTTCACACCGGCCTCTGTGGTTTGTTTTCGTCACAGCAGCCAGGGCTGCATGTTTGCGTATCCTGCCTCTGAGGCTTTTGCGGGGCCCATGCTCAACCGACCAAATGCGTCATCGTATGAAGGTGTTAATCACCTCTTTGTTGTTACCCAGTTTGATTAAAGCGTCTCGATTGTTTGTGTAATGGATTCTTTCACTGAATAGTTCCCCCGGGGAGTTTTATTGTGCTATAATTTCCAAATGCCTTGCCATGGTGCAGTGTAGTAAAAACTGGAGTGGAGCAGTTGCAACCACGTAGACAGAGCTTTTACATGAAACCCACATCACATATTGTGAAAGTGAGGTAAAGAGTGTAGAGTGTGTGGAACAGAGAGAAGAAACTCACACACAGAGGCCTTGTGGTGCGTTTTAGGACTCACTTTAAAGGAAGTGCCAGGCTGCAGCATCTCCTTATCATCCCGGGTCACTCTGGCGTTTCAAGAACAAGCTTTCTTTAACGGTGTGTGACCTTCTTCTTTCGTGGCCCCCCACACTTTGAAGCGGACAGACATAACTTAGCGTTATTCGCTGTCTTCACTCTCCCCCCGGCTTCCCAAAAGCCCCCAGGAGAGCTTCACCCACCACCCCTTGTCCTCCTCCTCCTTCCCCCTTCCTCTGCCGTGACTCACCTCTCGGGCCTGCATCAGTCAGCAGAAAGCTGTGGTTGGGCCTGCTGCATGTCTCCACACACACACACACACACACACACACACACACACACACACACACACACACACACACACACACACACACATTCTCACCCTACCCCTTCTGTTTCTTTGATGGGCCCATAAATTGTGAGGCGTTTAACTCTTTTGGACATCATAATCCCTCTTCCAGTAAGGCCCTTTCGTTTTTTTTACTGGATAAAGGGGAAGAAAAACAGGTTGTTATCAAGATCATTATTCACTTCTCAGGCCTCTTAGTTGTGATTACTCTACATCCTCTGTTATTTCTGCTTTGACGGTGATTTCTTATGGTCTAATTATTTACTTTCTGGCACGTATTTCTTTTTTTAAAGACATGCTCAGCACCAGGATTTTTTTTTCTTGCTGTTTCGCTGCTATTTCGTGAATGTGAGTCGAGGCCGAATTTTTCTCCATTATCAACGCACTGAGTCACTCGCGGTTTCTCGCTATTTTAGCTACGCTACTGTTCAGCTGAATGCCGCGGGTGGCTCGACAGGCTACTATTCAGAACAATCCCCCTTTTTCTACCATTCTTATTTGATTCCATCTCATCACTTGTCCCTGATGGAGCTTGGGTAATGGGTTGCCAACATGGCTGCTAATCATATAGCTTTCCCCTACTGTAACTATATCATCATCTGCTCCTCCTGCGTCTGTTTGAATAAAACATTTTAAATGGCTGGAGCAATTTTGGTCTGAGTCAGGGTTGGGAATCTGGGTGAATAACAAAGCAAATCCACTCATCTACTGTGGGTCTCCTCCCCCATCCCTCCAGCTTTTGTCTTAAATTGAGTACAGGCTTCCCTCGGTGAGATCAGAGGCTTCGCTGTTTTTGTGTGGACAGTTAGATGAGGTTAGAATACACACAAACACACTCACACACACACAAACACACACTGCCTTTAGGCCCCAGCAGGACTTGGGTGGCATTGGTTTCCATTGCTCCGGGAGGTCCACTGTGTAGGGGGAAAGGTAGACAGTTCTCTCTAAACCAGACATTACAGCTGGAGGGTCAAATTATTCCCATCCCTCTCTTATGGCTGCAGACACGTAAGGACCAATTGCTCGATTCCTTCCTGGAAACCCAAGGTAAGGGAATACCTCCTGAGCAATGCATTCCCCCGCTCCTGCAAGCTCTGGGTCAGCATGACACAATGAGAAAACAGCCACATCACCATGTTTTAATGTTCCACACATGCTAGAGCAGCTGCTGTTAAGCAACCCAGATGTTGGGCCAGTCCTCTGCAGAGTCATGTTGATCACTGTCATGCACAAATGAAATATGATAAGTATGATGTTTTGATTTGTGTAAAATCACCTGAAACCTAGACTATCTTAGTTTTTTCATCATTTATATTATCAGGAGCAGGTTCTCTTCCAGTCCGCCATGTTGCAACAAAATGTTCTATCTTCACTCAATTTGCTAGTTCACATGGGTGAACAAAGAGGACTGGATCAAAGATAGCAGAGCTCTAACTGATCATATTGGGAACATGGTTTTGATCTCTGAATCGTCCTTCCACGTTGCCTCAGAGGAGTCGTGCCCAGCTGTTGGCCACTCTTACAGGAAGCTTCTGGACGTGGAAGCCACTGTGAATCATCACTGCCCCTAACTTGGTCTTTGCTCTCCCCAGGGTACCTTTCATTGACAGAGGCTGTAGGCATCAGGAGTTAACTGCACATGGCTCCATCTGTCATTCCGGGATGGGAGTCAAGATTGCAGGGGGCTTCTGGGTGTGATACAGTCACAGGTTCTGGAGGCTCGAAAGGTTCTGTGGGTGCAGCAGACAGTAGCATGACAGATATAAAGTGTGAAGCTCTCTTTGAGATCTGCATTTTCTATAGGTTTTTTTGGTCTGTGTTTGTAATGGCTCATCGCTGTGGTGTTTACGCACTGCACTTTACAAACATCACTTGTCAATCAAAGTGCATGGGCGTTGCTGCTGTCTTTGTCCTTGGATTTCCTGATGATGGACTTCTGAGTTTGTGTATGGGCGTCTTTGTTTCTCTATACAGACTTGGCAGTTATTGCTGCTTGCGTTAAGTCTTCAGCAGTTTTGTCTTTTCATTCCAAACACACACACGGCTGCTGTGGGAGGCGTGAAAAAAGGGTCAGCATACCGGTGACAATTGTGTTCCTGACAGCAAATGGAAAGCTCTCAGTGGCTATATGTATGTCAGAGATATAATAAACTGACCCAAGTTGCCGCAGGATAACAAACTGTAGTCATGTTAACCAAGCAAGAGAGTTTAGCAGCTCTCGCAGTGTGATACTACAAACACATCAATCCGCACAGAGAACTTCTGAACTCGTCCTCAATTAACTTGGTGAGCCCCTCAAAGACACGTCTGCCATCCTAATTTCTAACGGCAGTCGGAGCAGCAGCAGAAAAAAAGCAATCAAACGCCACGGAGGTCAAGATGCGGCGGACAGAGCCGACCAGCAACAGCATCACGGATCATCTGCGGCAAGCGCTTGTGTCACTTGATTGACGGGCCTTGAGATGTAACCTTCACCAAACTGTGTCGAGGGCAGCGGCAGCGGGACTGAAGGGGGTAGCGCTTGTCAGCCTTGTTGAGCTTCATTCACTAGATCCAGTAGCGTCACATGCCAGTCTCTTGGAAGGAGACATTGTTTGTAAGACAGAGAAAGGTTTCTCGAATGACCCATCCACTGAGGATTTAAATCTTCTGTTCTTCATTTGGAAGTATCCCACTTATTACCTCTGCCAAGGAGGTTATGTTTTCTTCTTTTGCGGTTTGTTAGATGGATTATGCAGAATGCACTGAACCCATGTGCACCCAATAGGGCATCAGCCAGAGAAGATGAAGGGGGCATATCCTCAAATTTAATATAATTCTGAGATGAATTGTTCATTAAACATAAAACCACATAATCTGAAAAAGATAAACGTGATAGAATAGCAACATAATTTTATAAGTAACTTTTATATTTTTCAAACAAAATAATTTATTTGAGTCTTACTTAATATGTTCTCACACTGGGGAGGATTTTATTGCAGTGGCAGTTGAGTTTCACTGTTATCTGAATGTAAATTATGTTTTTTCCCAGTGAAGAAAGCCTCTCCTACAACATAAACAGTATCAACAACATAATAAAACATTGGCAATTAAAAATATATATCCCTGAATACTAGTATTAGCTTGAAGGAACCGGTTTTGGTTCCACCCGGTTTTAGTCTGACTAGACAAAGGTGGTTGTGTTTGCAGGGATTTGGTTCTAGATTAGCAGGTGATTCAAAACATAAAAGAAAAATGAAGAGGCATGATAATAATGACGTGGCCATGATTATACAGACCAAAATGTGGTTTCCACAACTGAATGCAGTTGTTAATTCTGGCCTCTTCAAGGTACTGTGGTTGTCGATTCCCAAGCATCCACCCCCCACTCGAGTGGTTTCATCGTTTCAGCAGCAACGTGTGAACCAAGGAGATGGGCCGGAGCCAAACCTGTGGGACGGCTTCACCAAAGCCTTATTTCCAAACGCCGGCTGTATTGTAGCCCTGCCCAGCTACCAGACAGGAGACATAAACACACAACGGCTTTAAACATTGGAAATCCACCGGGCCTGTGAAATGTTTCAGCCCTGATCTCACTCTTTCCAGTATCTCCTCCAGTCTGGGAGTCAAAGCAGGGACCTACACTGTGGTGGGGGTATAATGATATATATAATATCTTAATTTATACAGCACTTCTCATAATAAAGCTACAAAGTGCTTCACAAATAAAAAACACACACATGTAAAAATACATAAAAATGAACATAAAAACAAAAGTTATAAAAGAAAAAAACAATAAAAACAGTAAGCGTCTGACAGATCGTCTAGCATGGCCTCCCAATACAATCATAAAAAGAAGAATAAGATTAAATCTGGGAATGTGGTACGATAAACACTGGTAGGTTTTTTTACTGTGAGGAATTAGAGCAAGTTATTTTTCATCATGAACGAAGTTTACTTGAGATAATTGTAGTTTTGACTGCTTGTGACATCCACGTGTTGTCTGAGCTGTGCCCTCCAGATGCCCCGTCTAACGTGGGCCCCTCTCTCTGTTCCCACTGCCCCGTCTGTTGCAGGGCACTGCCCTCTGCCAGGATGGGGTCGGGGGTTAGTTTTTTTTTTCGGCATATGTTCCTGAATCATCCTGCACAACTGACAACTCTCGCTCTGATAAAAGGGGTTACTTTGAGGTTGGAGGGCGATGGGGGGTGTTGGGAGGGTAACGGGCTAACAGAGGTGCTCAGACTGCACTGAACTCTTCTGAGAGCCAAAGTGATGAGTAATGGAGCAGGCTTGTGAGAACCAGTGTCGGGGGGCCATTTGTGGTTAAACATGAGCGTGTCGCCACATACCATTGTGCCTTTTCCCATCAGTGAAACCCTTCCCCCTCCCTAACGCTTCAGTTGGTCTCCTGTCCCAGCCAAACCCCCCTTCAGGGCGTAGACGGCACATTCCATCTCTATCAATAGATGAGCAGGGAAAAAGGGATGATTTATGTGTTCATAGAGATATAGCCAAAACCAGAGCTGTTGGCAGTTATGGTGAAGTCACTGACGGGTGTTTAAAGCGTGCACGTGCTACTCAGCTGACTCTGAAAAGCGATCAGCTATAATTTTTTGGATGATCAGTTGTTTTGTTAATATATATTTTTCTTATGTAATTAATTTGTTTTCATTAACTTTAATTTATCAGGTGTTGGTTTAAACTAAGCCATTTAAATAGATAGAAATTAATTGAACACCTACACACTTGGTCCTCTATAATGTCCATGTAAGAACATTAGGATTTCTGAAATATTAAAGGATGCTGTGTACCTGTTGTACCATGTTTATGAGGTCTTAATGAGCTTATTACATCTCATTTGATGCTGTATCATAATGACCCTGTTGTGAATATGATTTAAAATAATAATGCCGGTGTTTCTCTTAAACAGCTGACTGAGATACATTTTCACACCGAGCAAATCTTCAGTAAACCAATCCTAATGGCTGAAGCTTCAGTGGCAGTATAAGACCTGGAGAAACAGCTGGCATATGTCATAGCACCCCCTACTGTTCACAGCTCATTGCATTTTTCACTGAACCTTCTCATCATGTCATTTGAATCCAGACTTCTCGCATAAAACACTGAATGAAACATAAAACTTAAAGATTTATTATATTATTATGGAAGTTAATCCCCTCAAATGAACTTGTCATTGACCAGATTGAATGACTGCTGTGGAGTCACAGTGGCAGTGTTTGCACCACAGCTGAAATTATTAAAACAATATATTATGCTATTGTTTCTTCACAGGGTGCTGGTGACAGCTTCATTGGAGCACTGGCATTTTACATGGCTAAATATCCCTCAATGCCTCTGGAGGAGATGGTCCACAGAGCCAATCAAGTGGCAGGAATGAGCGTGCAGGCTGTCGGCACACAGACGTCTTACCCCTTCAAAAAGAACCTGCCAGCTGAACTGTTCAAGGAACAGCTCATGTGCGAGTAGACGCCAGTTGGACCAATCTGGAACAGATCTTATTGAAAAGTAAACACTGGCTTATAAAATGCTGCCTCTGCTTTAGAGAAATCTGAATTTTATGACTCTAATGAGAATTATGATGATGTAACAAATGTTTAATATAAAAATCAACAAAATCTACATTTAAGTGTCGAAATCCCTTACATGAATAGTACCTTATGATGTCAGGGCCATGACAACACAAATGTCATTTTTTGCACAACTTCTTTTAATCTCAATCATTTTAAACAGTTTAATAATTCACAAGAATCTTAACAAAAAATCCTTCTATGGGATGTAATTGATTGACCAACTCCAAATAGATCTCATTTGTTGTAGTTCAAGAACATTTCCTTGGTTGGAATATTTGTGATCTACAAAACAAGACTGAATCATTATCATTGCTACATTTCTGTACACAATAAATCTGCTGAAAAGACAAAGTATTCTTGTGTGAAGTGGTGATAGAGGGGATGAAGACTTTGAAGCTCCGCCTGTGTTTGCATCATGATGAATTGGTGCAGAAGAAACCCTCTGCACTCATGTCGGCCAGCCAACCACACATTTTCACACATCCATCATCATCCAAGACAATAGAAATTGTCTGTTTAAACCTTGAAGGTTTATGTTGTCCATTTATTTTTCTTCACTGTTAAATTGATCTGATTTTCCTCTTCTCAATGAAAAGGACATGCTTGTTCACTGAAAAGAGAAGAACAGCAGAATTTAAATGACTGAGAAGAACGAGTGATGAACCACAGAAGTTTAAGCTTGTAACTGCCAAGTGTTAGAAGGTGAATTGTCGTGGTCTGTTTTTGTAAAGTGCAAATTTGCCGTCAACTATTTTCTTACAGTGTCCGTTCCATATCATGCCTGTTTGGAATGGGATGTTTGTTTGACCTGTGTTAATACTGGTTGGAACTTTGTCATGTGTCTTTCTCCCTATAAAAGTTACCAACAGTACTTAAGATGCAACAAGTAAAGACCAGCTCCCAGAATGGTTCTCCCAAACTGGAGAATCAGTCATGGGCGTTGTCGTGAAAGCGCTGCTGTTGTGACGTCAGTTATTAAGATAAGTCCCAGTTGTCACTGCAACAGGGCGGTATTTATTTAAAGTTTATTAATATTGAACGTATAGCGTGTCCAAATTGCACCAAGTACGATACTGCTCTTCCTTGGGCCCTTAACAAATCACATGCCAATTGTAAAGCCGATACTATTAACATCTCTTATACAATTTGACATACAGACTGACTGACAGTGATTTCTTGAAATAGTGGATAGATTATTATTATTATATATTATATTATTATATATAGATATCTATAGATAGATATATATGTGTTGTTACTGGGCAGCCATAGATGCAGTTGCTGGCCCTTCCATACAAAAGGCATTTTCTTTAAGACACATACAAAGCTAAATATTATATCTTGTTAGAGCTGCTTGAAGAAAATTCCATCTGATGTGTGTTTACTTGTCCAGAGAGAGTAAAATACAAAGGGCATCCAAATCAGGTAGAGCCAAGAGGCAGAAATGACGGATATTGTTGGCGCTAAAACAAGATAAACACGGGCTGTTTATGCAGAGCAGAAAAACACACTGGAAAAGCTACATATATATATATATATATATCTCCATATATTACCGATGGGATCGTGTTTGCGCAGCACCATCTTGTCTCGGAGACGGTTCCTCTTGGTGTTGAAGCAGTAACCTGTGCCTGCTGCGCTCATCATCTGCACCAGGACGGTCCTGACAACAAAACACAGAGTCAGTGTGACTAACACCTGCCTCACACGTGGCTTCATCTTGATGGAAACATTGAGGCACTAGAACCACGTTGACTGACTTACTTCGATTTTGCCTTGGCCACTGGAATATTAAAGAAGACAGAGCATATGTGAATACATGAGGACGAATCACACGATTAAAGCTCGGCAGGTTAATGCTACAGTCGCCAGACGCAAAGCTAACCGCTAATCACACAACAATAAGCGTAACAACATCACATAGTGTGAGAAATGTAACCGTGAAAACGATTGTTAACTCACAAGTTAACAGAGTCAAGCTGCAGATAATGTAATGTTAAGTGTCCTGGGTGTATAATGGGGCTAGCACCGGGGAGTTAGCTGACAGCTAGCTAAGTTTCGGCTAATAAATTAGCTTATTTAGCTACGTTTGAGTCTGCTCCACGTGTACACGCACCCGACTCTTAAATATCTACACACAGACATGAACATACTTACAATTTACTGTGGTAAGAAACATTTTGCAGACTCTAACCTGCTACAGTCACACAGTGTAAATCATTACAGTGTTGACCACCGTAAGTCACATTGAGGATTTACAACGTCCGGTTCAACAAAGACTTCCGGGTGCTCTTAAAGGTGCAGAGCACATTTTCAGAGCAGTGACGACACATGGAAATGTCCATTGGTCCAGATAGAGGAAGATTAGATAACTCTAGGTATGAATAAATCCTTCATTTCTATTAGATCAACAACCTCATGTTTTACCAGATTGTTTACTTATCTTATTAATGCTTCTGCCATATTTTATTTCATTAGACTTGATAACTGTTTCTGGTTTTACCATGGTTTTTTTGGTCTTTTATTGTTTTATACCTTTACGATTACTTGTTGATTCCAAAAGGAACTTTTCAGGTTTTAATGTGTCATGTGCCATTGTATTTTAAGCTCTTACTTAATTATATTTGTTCATTTTATCATATTTTCTGTGAAGCACTTTGAGCTGTAGTCTATGAATGAAAGGAGATATATAACTAAAATTCATTATTACTATTAATGTAGCAATACAACAAGTTTACTACAAACAGGCTGGTGAAAGTCGGAAGGTCTGACCTTCAGGTTCTGATTATAACTGTTGATTGAACAGAGAGGATTGATAAAAAAAATGACACTGTCCTGAGAACACTTTCATCTGTCCATCATTATCTACAGCTTTGAGGGTCGCAGGGGGCTGGATCCAGTCCCAGTTGACATTTGGGCAAAAAGCAGGGTACATCCTGGACATGTCACCAGTCCATCACAGGACTGACATATCAAAGAGGCTCCACTGTGCTCTCCTGAGACAAAGCTTACATGTAATAATTAAATAAGTAGACACATATCCAACAATCAAAGACTGAAATACTAAACAATCCTTGTGAACATAAACGTGTTCAATGATTGGCCTTTGAGTCACGTCTATAAATAGATAATGAAACCATATTTTTCCCATAGCATTAAGACATCATCAGTGCATCAAGTTCCACTGGGCCACTGAGAATATTGTAATTTGAATTGTAGCTACACAGGCCAATCTGGGTATTCCTAACCATTTTAATCAGAGTAATAAAGTTGCTCTGTTTCAGAATTAATTTAATTGGCATGAAAATATAGATCCCTGTGTGTCTGAAGACTGAACAGTGCTGGAAGTTAAAGAAGACCATAGGAGGTGGTTCCCATGATACATTAATTATTAATAAGCTTCAGGAATCCAATGGTGTCTTTGAACGACGAGGGAAAACTGAGGATGGACGTCAGACTGTCTTCTCTTGGATATCTGAGAAGAGGTTGCCTATTGTTTTAAAAAACATAAGGGACATAGAGATATTTTTACTTTGTATTCACTAATCTTAAAAACATGATCTGAATGAAGAGCTACCCTGCAGTCTTTTTGACAGGGCAGTCAACAACCTTTTTGGTTTTTATCCATCACAATCACTTTCTCAGAAAGGTCAGTACGAGGTCCTGTTGCTCATCCCAAATTAAATTATCCTTTTTCACACACTTACCTTTCTCCTAATTTTCTACCATCTGAATTTCAACACACAGCCACTGTCTGTTTAGGTGAACTAAAAACATCCTTCCATTTTAAACACGTCTATATGTTCAAGTCAAAAGAACCTGTACAGGCAAACCCGGACATCAACATGACTGACAAGATAAAATCCCAGCCTCCTGATGAGAAAATAGAAAAGTCTTTTTATTTTGTGCATTTCAACACAAACCAGCCTCCCAGGTCCTTGACCTGCGTGGCTGTTGAGGACAAACGGCTCGTCCACTATTCAGAATGTTGGCAGTTTAATCCCTGATTACTCCTATCTCCATGCCCAAGTGTCCTTGGTCAAGAACTGTATCGGTGTGTGAATGACATAGGTAAAGCACTGCACATGCTTAAATGAGTGGATGTGACTTGAAGTGTAAAGTAGTGACAAATCTAGAAAAACATCATATATATATATATATATATAGTCCATTTACTGTGAGCACGAGCCTTGAGAGAGAGACAGAGAGTTTCCTTTCTTAAAAAGCTTTTGGATAATAATTGCAGAACCTCATGGAGACAGCCTGGAGTTCCTTGTAGAGAAATAGACCTGATACAGTCACAAGTCCAACCTTTTTTACAAGCATTTTTTTCTGGTTTGTGTGTTTCCTGTTTTTTATACCATGTCTATATCCAACTTCACCTGCCTCTGCTGGATAACGAGGCATTTAGATCATCCGATATGAATTTCTCGTCCTTTTTAATAGTACTACAGTGGTGGTTGCCATGAAAGCAGAAAGGAGCATCCACTAAGACATTCTAACCAAGATGGAATGATGAGATCCACTTGTTGTGTATGAAGCCATGTAATCATTCTCCTTCTGACATCTACAAGAGAGTCGCACATCAGGATTTGTCACTGCCAACCAACATCTGTTCATCGCTGCTGTTTTCCTGTGACAGAATAATGCATGAATATACATGAATGATGTATCTCTCACTGCATGTATCAAAGTATTTCTTCTATTTAATTAATCTCATTTAACTCCAACTTTAGTTTTTTTTCACTAAAGTAATTCAAGTGTTAGTAGAAAAAGAAGTTAGTAGTTGTTACACATCATCTTGTCTCAGTGAGGCAGCTCAGATTTCATGAATGGGCTGGAAGAGACAAGATGAAGGTCCCTCTGGAATGTCCTGAAACCTCAGTGAAAGCCTGTCTCTCGGGGGCATATGAATGGGTGGGACACTAAGAATGGCACAGTGGAAGTCCCCTTCTTTAACTCCTCTGAAAGTCACACAGCCTTTTGTGTGTTCACACTGAAACACTGGCATGATGAGATGATCCAAAAAGCACATTATCATTTTGCATGACTGCTTAGGAATGACAGTGGTTTCCATACATGGCCAAGTTTAGAGATACACGAGAGCATGATGTAAATAATATCACTGGGTTGGCTTATATTATAAAAACAAGTACAAACATGTAATTTAACAACTTTTAAAGTAAACACTATTCAATTAATCAGCTAATAAATATTTCTGTATTGGGATATATCTATGATTGCTCTGGTTTACTCACATTATAATGGTTTAATATTTCAATATCTTCTGTATAATTTGTAATAAAAAAATGTCTCACAAGACAAAGTGTATTAATCCATTGAACTATTCAATAAATGTAGTAGTGGACAAAATACCCTGAGCTTTTACCTGTATGTATAAAGTATGCCATTGTGACATTTATTCAAGAGAGGGATCCTTCAGTAGTGACTCTCTGTGGTTTCTTTGTTTTTCTATGTTAAACGTGTTTTGGTAGTTTTTACCCTTGCCGAGGGTTAAAGGCAGAGGATGCAACACCTTGTAAAGGGTAAGCAGATTTTGATTTGTGAATATGAGTTATTCAAATAAAAAAATATTTTTTCCACTGGTGAAGTATTTTTTTTAATAACTTTATATATATCTCCTGTGTAACTGGTGAATTCCCCCTTGAGCATCAATAAAGTCTTATTTTATTCCAAAATATAATTTGAATTACATTATCATTACAGTATTAGTCAGATATTAAGCTTAATAATAATTCATATGTACTGTATGCTCACAATATGAGCTGCTCTTGTTGTTATAAAACTCCCAATTATTATGTCCCAGAACAATGACATCATGATTGTCTTCAGTCGTAGCGGCACCTTTCATTCAATGTTATATATTATATTATTTTACACTGTTCCCGTTTTTATTTGCCAAACAATATCTCAGCTGAAATTCTATTCTGTGATCAGCTTTAGGACCAAGGTAATGGATTGTAATTTTCCCTTTTATTAATTCACTTACACTGTGTGAGTCATCCAGTCCTTCACATGTGTTACTGAGGGACTTCTGTGAAGGGACTTATGTCGTTACTGCTGTGTCCTGCTGCACTTTAATGCTAAGTTAACCATTACAAACACAGGGGGTGGCATGTCTCTGTAATCAGCGAAGGCCCTATAACTATCTTGAACATTTGGTGTATTTTGGTCCACGTGTCGTCACACAGGAACAATGCCTGAGGCGAGTGCAGTATGAATAAAGGTTTATTTCCTTTCACAGCTTATCTTCATTAAATGAAGAGGAAGAAAATGAAGATCCAGTGTATATAAGCGACACTGTGGTCCCACTAGTGCATGGATTAGATGGAAAACAAAAACAGTAGTTGGTGAACATGCACCAATTAGCCCTAAATGGAGCTGTATTGGTAAAACCCAGTGGAGGATAAGCCACGCATTAAAGCGGAAATGAACATGAATGTTATTGGACGGGGCGAGGAGCGCTGTAACCAGGCAGGGAGCAGCAGTCAGTATGTGTGTGGAGGAGCTTGCGTCACTGAGGGATAATTCTAAGAAGAAGGCTGAGACCACTAGCTCCAGCTCTCCTCCTCCTCCGCCACCACCAACCCACCCACTCAACCCTCTCCACAGCCACTCCTGACGTTTGCTACTCTTCCCTTCTCCCACTTCACCGCTCTCATACTCCCTCGCTCCGTCTCACCTGCTCTTTATTTTCATTTACAACCCACTTTTTCCTACTTCCTGTATCATGAACTCGCTCATTTACATTTTAGTCAATCGAGCTCAGGTTCCCAGCTCAAAGTTGCTTACACAGAAAGAACAAGTGTACGGGTTCAAGGTCTTCTGAGCCTTGAGATTTGGCAGTTTATTATCAGGAGAACAACTGAGGGAGAACAAATTAAAATTGGAGCGGTGGTTCATTCATTTGAAAGTTATTACTGAAGAGCTGACGAGACAGACACGGAGGAGTCAAGGCCAGAGCTGTGAGCTTGATGGATGTTTTTTGACCCTGTGGGGGAGATTTTTATGCTCGCTATTAACAATAGTACACCTGTAGTTTGCTCACTTTCTTTCTTTATGCTTTCAAACAAAAAACTCTGAATGGAGGAAACCATGTGATTCAGCCAAGCACAGAGACTCTCATTCTGTAAAACCTTACCCTGCTTCACCATGCTGTCCATCTGCTTTTTCGTATTACTACTTTTTCGCATAAAATGTATTAAATATGTAGCTTTTCACATATGATCTCCAAAGAAAATACTCAATTTGTACCCATATGTCAGTTCTCATCTTTCGTAAAGACAAATCTTTTTTCATTTATGTGCATTTTATGACCCGAGTGTTAGTATCCCAAATTGTGGGTGGCTGTGGCTCAGGAGGTAGAGTGGGTCATCCACTAACCAGAAGGTCAGTTTCAAAACTGAATCGCACTGGCCAGAATAATTCAGTGTGCTGCATATAGAAGCACTGTGTGAATGGGGAACGTGACATGTAAAACAAAGCACTTTGAATGGCCGTTAAGGCTGGAAAAGTGTAATTGTGCAGTCTCCTCATTATTATGCATGTGGTACATTGTGACAGCTCTGCACCACAGACTGTACATAAAGATGGACATGTCTCCACTTCCTGCCACTATCCAGAAATGAATCCAAGATATCCCGGATTCGAACACTACCATTTTGCACCCAAGATGTCTTTTGGAGCCAGAGTTTGGAAATGTGTAATCGTGAAGTGGAGTTCCAAATGCAAAAACAAAATCCTGCCAGTTAACATTCTTGACCAATCATTAGTCAGCTGTCAATCATGAAGGTTCCCCTTTGTTTCAAAGTGAAACTTTTCATATTTAACATTTGATTAATATTAAACTGTTGACCGTGCAGCTTTAAAATAACCACCACTCTAGCTGAAGTGTTGAGCCATGTAACAGCTGATGAAAAAATATATATTGTGTCCATTTTGTATTGTAAATAGAGCATAATCAGTAATAGGGTTTCTAATTAAATCAGCAGCCACAGCAGGGGCTGGTAAAGTGCATGTGCAATGATGTCGTTCAATAACATGTGCACAGCTCCACAGCACACCTGCACACACACACACACACACACACACACACACACACACACACACACACACACACGGCTTTCTGCACTGTAAAAATCACATTGCAAAATATAATTGCCCTGGTAACTATGACTTTGTGAAACAGTGAATACAGAACATTTACAGGTTTGTAAACTCAGCAAAAACTTTATCATGTTAAATTTGAAAAAGTTGCTACTTTTACAAATGTTTATGTCAAAACACAAAATTGTTCATTTAAACCATGTCTGTGTGTCGCGCCGGTAATTCTAACACTGTGTCCTGACTGTGAGCGTCTCATGTTCTTGGTTCTTACTGAGCACACAATGTTGACGAGTCATTTTTGATGATGTTTAAATGAAGTCTCATAAACTCTGGAGCGAAACAAGCTAAGTCACTTCATGTACTGATCAAGTCCTGATAACCAGTGATGAGTGCTATAGTGAGAGCAGGTCAGATTGGAGGAGGACACAGAAACTCCAGCTCCTGCTCTGATCATGAAGCAGCTGATCAGTCCTTTCAGCAGGGATTAGAAGAGACAAACCATTAACAGCCCAGTGGGACAATGTGGTGCCACTGGAGAATTCAATTTAGGAGAATGGCTCTCACAACCACCAGCCGATTCTCCCATGCTGATCACATTGTGAGATTGTAATTGCCTTCATACTTTGGATGAGAGCAGAGACGTGTCAAGTTCACATCTGTATGTGTGTGTATTTCCTGATCGAAAGCAACTTGAAGCTGAACTTAGAGGCACAATATGTCACTGTTGTTTTAAAGGCACATTATCAAAATCGTAGTATGCACTTACATAAGAAGGTGCAAAACACATTAAGATCACATTAATTCATATGTGTCGCTGACTTGACGTTGCAGATCCAGGTCATGGCTGCGGCCACATTGCGGATCGTGGTAGCAGCCGAGCATGGATTATGATTACAACTAGATTGCCTACATATACAATATGTGTTAGACGGAACTGACACAAACGCAGACACAGACAAACTGGGTTTTAAAGTTAAATAAAAGAGTGTGTTTATTACTCAAATGTCAGGTGACAAAGAGTTGCAGATTTACTGGAAGTTTCTGTGGTTTGGCAGCAAATCCAGGCAGTGTGGTTGAAGCTGGTGAGTGGGCAGGCAGGTTAGTTCTTTGGCAACAAGTGAACAGGATCTGAAAAGAAGGAGGACAAGCACGAAGTAGCAAACAGGCAACAGGTAACAAGCAAGATCATCAAAGCTGTTTCCAAAAAAGCACAACTGCCAGAGAGCACGATGCCACTGAGTGGATCAATCCAGCGAAGATTCACTGCAGGAACCAGGGTTTCTATACTGGCAATGATGAGTCGCAGGTGTGTCCACTTGAGAGAGCGAGCTCACGCTCATAAACACAGAGACAAGGAGGGCTGACAGAAATAGGTTTTAACTGAGACACATGGAAGAAAGGGTGGATCTTGAAGGACTTAGGGAGTTTCAGGACAGATGGATTGATTACAGAGAGGATTTCAAAGGGGCCAATGATCATTTCTTGGACTCGGGTTGTAAGGAAATATTCTTAGTGGAAAGCAAAACTCTCTGACCTGTTGGAACGGAGCAGAGCGGAGTGAGCATCTTTCCATATCATGCGAAGTCAATGGAGGTGAGGCTGGACAGAGGGAACAGCAGCATTTCCCTCTTGAGAAGGAAACAGTGGAGGAAGTAAACTAATGATCTTTAAAATGGTGTCATACCTGTGGCAGTGCAGGTCAGGGAATTATGAGCATAATCGCCCCAGGGGACACGCGAGCTCCAGGAGGAGGGATGTTGTGCCGCCACACAGCGTAGTGCTGATTCATGGTCCTGGTCCACCCGCTACATCTTTCCGTTAATCTGTGGGTGATAAACAGGGAAGAAACTCTCAGATGCCCTGAAAGGGCTGCAGAGCTCCCTCCAAAGTCCAGAGACAAACTGAGGGCCCCGGTCAGAAACTATATCAAGAGGAATCACCTGCAGGGGGATTAGTGTTTGACCAGTAGATCCACAGTCTCAGTGGCTGAGTGGAGCTTTGGGAGAGGCAATAAATGCACAGCTTTTGAAAAACGATCCACAATGGTGAGCACAACTCTGCATTGGTGGGTAGAGTAAACAGAAACAGTACACAAGTAAAAGTAGTAAAAAAAACAATGCTGTTAAACACTGTTTGCATCCAAACATCAAGAACAAACCTTCACTGAATCGTCATAGAAAAGGCTTGGGTGCAAACCTGCATTCAGTTTCCAAAACAAACTGAAATTTTAACTTTAAAATGGAAACCTTATTAACGCAGGATAGGAAGATGCAGACTTTTCAAAATAAAAATAATATGCTGATAAATTAAACAAAAAAACTTGGTCGTAAGATAAACAGGGAAAAAGCGCAAATATAGGCACATGGTTTTGTTTTAGTGTTGTATACAGAACAAGTGAAAAAACAACTATCAATCCCTGCTGGAGTGGGTTAGATGCAGTCATTCAAAAACAATGTATTCTGCTAAATAAAGTAAATCTTTACAATTTAAAATATTTAACAGTAATCAGTAATACATTGACTCCACTGGCATCTCGAACGTTCCTGCGAGGAGAACAGAAGGAGGAATATTTAATCAAAAACTGGATCTCATTCACATTTTCCCCAAATAACAGTCTGCTCAACAATTGAAGTTGCAGGAAAAGACTTGTGCTCCTGTTTGTAAGTAAGTTATTGTATAGTAAGATGTCAAAAACTCAACTAAAACGTCAAAGTTTAGTAAAGTATTGTAAGTTAGATAAGAAGGAGCTTTAGCTGGGAAGCTAACATGGGTATTATATCATGGCATCTGATAGAGCCAATGGCACCAAATCTGCTCTAACAGTAAACCTGGTCTTACTCAAATCACTTCATGATTTTAAAAGTTTTTAATGTAAAGAACAAAAGCTACCTGTAAAAATATTGTGCCACTTATTGTATTGCAAGGCATCAACAGCTATTTACTGGTAACTCTAGCTTCTGTTA